AGGGCACGTGCAGCTGGGGCCAAAGTCTCCGCTGTGCCTGCAGTCGCGTACCGGGGGGAGCAGATGGGAGAGGCGACAGCCCCCGCGGCCGCATCCTTCTGGGCAGCACAGGCTCCTGCACCCCCGCACCCCATCGGTGGTCCAGGGTGGTCCTGACGGGAGCCAGCCGGGCTGGGAGAGCCCGCCACCGTGTTCCCACTTTGGACTGGAAGGGCGAGCTGATGAGCAGCCAAAGCTGATAATAAAGGATGATATCTGAGCACAAGTCACATGTACACCAAGTCAGATTTCATTGATAATTGAGCGTTTAAGAATTTTAACTTTGCCTGTTCACCTCCTCCCAGTTTTGTCCTCCTGCTTCTTATCTGTAATCTGCAATAGATAATCCGTTCACAACCCCGATACGATTTAATGGCAAGTTAACATTCTGTTCCTCTCCTTAGCTTGGGTTTCTTTTGATTTTTCCCCTGCTAGTGAGGCTTTGCTGAGAACTAACGATGGGCGGTTTTGTAGCTTGTGGACGAGCTGCAGAGCAGGCTCTGCATCGCGTGAATTCGCTCCGAGCACTGAGTTCTGTGTGAATGCACCTGTCTGCTTATAGACCCAGTATCTCGCTGTAAAGCTCATGCCAGCCCAAAAAAGAAGTGACAACTGGCTAAACATGCCAGATCTAGATGTGAATCCAGAATGTGTCACTGTTGCAGCTCTGCCTGTAGGAAAATTTCCTTGTAATTTATAGGAAAACTGTTTCAATTCTGCCGTAGCAGAAGCCAGGAGACAACCCAGCTCTTTTTTTTGTCATCCATTTCCCAATCCCAAAGAAATGGAACCTACAAAAAAAAAAAATTAGTTATTTTGCCATTTGCTTGCACGCAAACAGAAAAGGCATTGCTATTATTTTTGTCCCGTATTCCCCAATTAAACCAATCTCTTTTTTCACAAGGTAAAATTTTGGATGCCTTGTAAAAATATCTGAAAGATACTGAATACAAAAAGCACAAAGAAGAACCAAGGGGGTGGGTTTTGTTGTTGGTTGGGGGTTTTTTTTGACCATTTATCCTCTGCACCCTGTCTATAGCCACAGGCAGATAGTGGCAGGCAGGAGGCAGAAATCCGCCGCAGACCTCGCTATACTCAGACAGAAAGGGAAACACTTGCTGTTTCTCAAAAGGCAGCTTGCTCTCCGCTTTGGGCGAGCTGTGCAGCTCCCCGCAGGCTCCGCCGAGTCCCCTGCACCGCTCGGCTCCCAGCCCCGCTGACGGCCAGATGCGGCCAGGAGCATCCCGCGGCTGCATCCCAGGGCTGCTCGCACACATCACTCCCCAAATCCCGCTCCAAGGCATCGTGTAGGGCTCGGTACCGCGACGGGGTGGGAAGCGAGGGGCTTTCAGGGTAGAATTTACTACGTATCACCACGTCCACTATGTACGCTGTGATGATTTATTTATGCAGGGAAAAGCCAAGAAAATACTCCTGACTGAACAGTGCTCCTGCCTTTTACATTTAAACAACTTCATAGCCAGGGAATGTGTTTTTCCTCTCTCTTTTCCTGTGTTTTTCATGATCATTTGTTAAATATATTACAATCCACTACTTACCTCACTCTGAAGCTCTGAGACTTTTTGTGGCTTTATTCCCTCCTGGCATTCTCTAAATAAATCACTGTATATTCACAACAGATCTTAGGAGAAGTGATAGGAGTAACATGTGGAAAATGTAATCCCATGCATATGTTTAAGCGATCTGCTGTAAAACTACCTCAGCAGCTATAGCAGCACATCAGCACGGCTGCACTGTATCCTCCATCCTTGCGTGAAAGTTTGAGCCTATTAATGGAAGCAATGACTGGGTGGGAAAACTATCACTAGCTAATATGTAGACAGGAGGATCATTTTCAAATTTAAGCTCTACATTCACTCCAAGTCTGAAACAAAAATAAGAATAGATTTGAGGCAGAATTAGGCCTTTTAAGCCTAATTAAAGCTCAGGCAGAACATTACGATCTTCATACTTAGCACCCAAGTTAAGATCACTTGATTACTGCAAATTTATTCCAAATTAACAGTGGTGCGAAGGAGTGAAGAATTAATCCAATGATGTGGGCTTGGACCAATCAATCATTTATAATTATGATATTCTTGTCTTTTGTCAATATGCATATTTAAAATTTAATTCTGATACTTTATTCAGATATGACAGTGAAATCACCAGAGATTAGCAACTGAAATGAGAGGCCTGTTCAATTAAAAAAAAAAAAACAACAAAAAAACCCCACGCAAACCTTGATATTTAAAGCTGGCAATGTTATTTAAACAATAAATAAATGAACAGAATTAAACTACCCCATGGCATCAGAATTATCTTGATTGTGTAAACATGTGAATAAATAAATGTTTAACGGATACTGAAATTAAGTTTACATGAAACATCTGTGTCTCTCAGAAAGCTGTTACTGACATATAAAACTGTGAATTCTCAACCTTCAGAACAAACCTACTATTACATGATAGTTAAGTACATCTAGTCTAGATAAAAGGATTTAGATTATAAGAATTCCAGGAGAGTATAAAATACCCAGAGAAAACATTAAAGCCAATTGCAGCTAATCAAGCAGATGTTCTTGTTACTGAATCATTGCTACTGAAATCCATGTTCAGGGCATTCTTTTTCCACGTAAGATTACATTCACAGATCCCTTTTCATTCTTTAGCTTTTAAGAACAATACAACTGCTGTGGCTTTTATTCAAATAAAATGCAATTAAATGATTTAATTGTTTTACTGAAGCACACATTTTTTATGGGAAAAGCACCAAATTGAGAACTTGCACAAGCAGATTCCACTCATAGCAGAGTGCTTACCTTTAGCTGTCGTTAAAAATGACATTGTTCTGTTTTGCTTCTGCTATTTCAGTCTGCCTTCAAACAACCCCCCCATACTCCTCCGCAGATTGCTGCAGCTCCAGAATTAGCAAACCCATTTTACAATTAACTGAACTCAGGCCACTTAATTCCCAGATTTGTTTAACTCTAGGCTGGCTGCTAAAACCAGTGACCTGATTTGCAGAGGATTGCACAAATATTCCTCCAAACAAACAACAATTCAAAGTGAAATAAGGACCCTCTTCTCATGTGTTGCATAATCCAAAAGCACTCAAAGCCACCATTTTGCATGTATTTAAAGACTGAAGTAGACCCAAAATATTCAGTGGTGAAATTGTATGTCTAAAAGGCATTGAGAAAGTTAAAATACAGAGTTCTAGGGTGATTATTTCAGCTTCTTCTCTAAATAACATCTCAATGGTTGATGACAGTAAATGAGGCCATGAAAGAAAATTTGATGCATATTCTTCTAGTAAAGATGATGGAAAAAATAAGCAGCCTGTGCTGAGGTAAAAGGAAGAGTAATAAGTGACCAATAAACAAAGGTGCAAACAAGACTAACAACAGTTTCTATTAATACATTAGAACAAAAAGTAAAAGCAAAGTACACGACCGTTACTTAACAGGGAAGGAAAGCAAGTGCTGCACGATGGTGAGGAGGTTAACATGCCCTTTTTATGTGAGCCCTCACCAAAACACTGGCTGTGACCAAATGCTTACACCCTTAAAAGGTTTAGACTATTTCTGTAAATTGTTGTGTCCATGGAGGCTTATTAAATGATACCAGAGGATTCTCAGGGAACTGGACAGAGCAATTGCTCAGCCACCTGCAATCATCTTGAGAACGCATGCAGCGTGCAGGGATGGGGCCACAAACGCTGTGGTTACGGAGGGACAAATAAAGCACTTTTTAACAGCAGGACCTGAGGAACAAACATTAATGCCTATAAGGAGGCTGGAAAATAATTAAAGGAATCAGTCTGTAAATACATAGAAGAAAATGAGGTGACAAGAAACAGCAAATATGGGATTGAAAGGGAGAAAGCAGGTTAGGCAAACCTAGTTACCTTCTTTCACAAGTAACTGGTCTTTTTAAAGACAGGGAAGGAGCAGATGGGATATGATTTACAAGAAACACAGGTCAGAAAGGTTTACTGTAGAGATTGAACTGTGAGCACAAATTTATGACTGCATCACTATTAAACGCAGGTGATATACCCAACCCTCAGTCTGCACTAGTGACTATTTTAATCAACTTGGGGGATGAAATTTAAAGATGATAACAAAGTGGAAGGCATTGCAATCACTTTGGAGATGGGATTAGAGTTCAAATTGATCTACATAAATTGGAGAAATTATCTGAATTTTTCAGATGGAATTCAGTACAGTGCACAATGCTATTTTAAAGAAGAAATGTCAATGCCTATAAACAAGATGGGTAACCATGGGCTCAGTAGCATTTCTGTAGAAAAGAATTTGGGGCTTGCAGTGGATAGTCAAACATATTTTTTTTTTCAAGAAAGAGAAGAATGACAGGGGAAATTAGAACGAGTTCACCATTATGTAAGAGGCTGCTGCCAAAAGGAAGAGAATAAGCTGTCTTTCATGTCTATTGTGGCTAGAATAGTAATAATAAAGTGCATTAAAGGGAGGAAGAAATAGGAAGAAATAAGCCTGACATCATGAACCATTTTCTAATCATAAAGTTAGCAAAGCACTGACAAGGTGTTCAAGGGAGATTGTGCCATTTCCCTCCAGCTGGAGTTTTAAAGGACAGGTCAGACGTGTCTGTCAGAAATGAGATAATCTTGCCTTTACACCAGGTGATGGACTTCTCTGGGTCCTATCCAGACTGACCTTCTACAGCCGAGAGCAGAGGAGGATGTGGGAACAGGCAACCTTCACGCGGGGCACTGGAGAGGCAGCCACGGAGGCGGCCAAGGGAACAAAGCATGGGCGTTAATCCAACAGGCAGCATTAGAAAACTGGCGAGACAGCGGAGGGCTCTGCGTTCAGCCCTACGGAGTGGGTCCTGCCTGCTCTCCCATGGTGGAGAAATGGGGCTTCGCCACTGACTCCCTGTGCCCACCCCAGCCCCATAACGGGGGACCCGTTTGTATCCTCAAGGGGAATGTCAAAATTTCTCAAATCCCACATAAAATGATTAAAGGTAATCCTGTACCTTGCTGGCTCAGGGCTTTTAAAATAAACCAAATGGGTATCTGGCAGAATTTGGCTAAATGAATCTGTAAGAAAGCAGAGGGGCAAGTAATGTGACATCTGCTGCTGGCATTAGTTAAGTGCAGACGCTGCATTCCTTAGATCTCCTAACCTTGTCTGAACCAGTAATTTTTAATTGGGACAAAACACTGGAATGAGAAAATCATCCTGAATTTAAACATTTCTATCTGTGATTCAATAAAGCAGCCACACTACCAGCACAGCCTTGCCAAGATGCTAGATTATCTTTCCATATTGACAATTAACATTTGAACTGGCCACTAAAACAATGAGAAGATTGACTCATATTAATAAAGTGAAGATTACATAAAGAGAGAAAAAGGCACTGAACTCGTTAAAATCCTCCATAAGCTGTCGTGAGTCTTTAGTGTTTGTCTTGATAGTATGAGGACAATATGACCTTCAATTTTCTTGGGTAATTGAACATGAACAGGTTAATACAGTAAGTTTTTAAGATGGATTTTCACTTCTGCAGATTGTATCCTTCACTAAAACAAAAGGCCTCTATGCACATACTTTTCAGACTCTGTACATTTCTGAGGTAAGGAGCTGGCATCGATCTATCAACACTGAAATTCTTTTCTCTGCGGACGCGGCTAGTCCGAGCGCAGGCTCGGGAGGCTGGGCATCACTTGGGCCTGACGTTGACTGGAGTGGAGGTACTAGCCAAGCGCCCTAGCCTGTCAGGTTTATTTGTAGATGAGGATATTTGTCCAGAGTTGCCTGGCATAATTATTGGTCAAATATTCATCTTGTTGATTCAGCTAAGTCTCCTGCTGAGCTAAATGGGAATTCTGCCTGAAAAAGAACCGAGAAGCTGGCACCCACCAGAGTGGGATAAATCACACCCCAAGTAGGAACTTCTGGATTTTACCCTGAGGCCCAAATGGCCTTGAGTTTAGATTCATAAAAACTGCTGAAGATAAGCCTTCGCTGGTGCTTGCTGCCAATGGGCCTGGAAAGATTCTGCCAAAAAGTTTTGGGACCAGCACTCAGCTGGACCATTAAACTCTGCATCTTTAGTGGCCTCCCTCTGACAGACTTACTGGTGGACAAGCTGCATGGGAGGAAACCCTGTGCAGGTCCGAGAGGTGAAATATCCTCCTGTAATGCATTTACCAACTTGAGATGCAAACCACACATTCACAAAGGCGAAAACACACCCCGTGCCGCAGGAGCTACCTAACACTTTGCGCCGGGGAACAGGCAGTCTAGAGGGAATTTTCCTGACTCCTCTTCAGCAGTAAATCATTATTCTCCAGACTTGAGAAAACACAGGTAGGTAAAGAGTGCCTTTGGCAAGGTCTGATTCAAAGCCCAATGGTAACTTCATGTCACTGCAGTGGCCGCGGGCAGGACAGAGAGACAGGCTCGTGGGAACTGGGGCCGTCCTTCCGATGGAAGCACAAAATGCTTCTTACCTTTGGCTTCAGCTCTTGCATGGAAGTGGATGCAAATTCCATGTCTGAAAAGCCAATAGGTTGGGTAGATCAGTAGGTAAGGCAGGTATCCAAGAACATTAGATTTTCCTATGCTAACAGCAGAAAAGCAAGAATGTTGGGAAAAAATGAATAGAAGTATGTATGGTAAGAGCACTGTAATTCCAAGAATGATGTGGTGTTTAGTGTGTACAGAAACAGAGCAACGCCCTTCTTCCTAAAGACACGTAATTACAGTACAATTTTTGAGAGAGGCCTATTCCAGGACGAGTGTCTAATTTTAGGCAATCTTCCACTTCACCATTCCTGATAAGGACCAGAGAGTCCTTGCTTTTCTAATGTCAGTACTTCCTGCAATAAAGCAAAGAAGTAGCAGGAGGAAAAAAATGCCCTTAAGAGCACAATGCTTGCAGTCCTTCCCAAAGCATGGACTGCTGTTTGGCTAATGGCCTGCTGGCTTTGATTAGGAAAGCACAAAGCTGGCAAACACAATTGACAGACTTTCCAATTACAAAGCCTCCTCCCACTTTCAAACTGTGTCCCAGAGAGCTGGACTGAGAATTCCCCTCTGGAGAAATACCCCGTTATGTTTTGCTGGGATAAAGATGGTCAAATGCAGCAGGACTTACACAAATTACATACATCTGACTCCATTCCTCATCTACACAACAGGACAACAGAACCTCCCCATCTCACAGGATGCTCAAGGATAACCACAATAAATAATCTGAGGTCCTCACATCTTAATGTATTAGGGCTTGCAACTCCCAAACAACAAAAAATACTTTAAAAACTCTTCTAATCCCATAGATCGTGTAAATAAATTGTTTAGTTCTGAGAGGGATGCTATTTAACTAAATTTAAAAGTATAGCAAAGGAAGGATGTGTCCACTTACAGGGACAAAAGGTAGCGAGACAGTGCTACAACACAACGTGATCCACACTAGGGAAGAGCTTGCCTGTCTGTATCACCCAACGGTTGGAAAGGCAGTGAATTACCCAGAGAAAAAATAACTTTATGTGTTTATGGACTGCATATAGAAAATGAAGAGACTTGCTGGTAATGCGAAAATAAAAGCTGGTCAGAAATATTACAGCTTTATACAAAGAATGAGATGTAGCAAACGTTTCCTATTGCCAGGAGGGCTACCCAGCACACACCGCCTCTCTGCTAATTTGACGGGCCATGACTGAACTGAATCCCTTGCCCATGACAGGGAACAGAAACCCAGCTTGAAAACATTAGCGGTTTGACTACCTGGGAATGGCAGTGCTATTGATGTTGTGGGAGACAAGCAAGGAGGGGAGAAGGAGGGGAAAGGCTTCCCAATGCTGAGCTGTGCCAGCCCCGAGTCCTGCCTTACCCTACGTCAGAAGCATTGCAGTACAGCAGATATATAGTAGTACAGCAGATAGATATATAGTAGTACAGCAGACCTGTTGTAGCATGAGGTATGCTGCAGGCCCACCCAGTGGAGAAGCAGGAAACAGCAAGCCCCAGTCCCTCCATTTTTTGTTAAGATGCAGCATGTAACACTAACAGCAGACACTCCAAGACATCTCAGTGAAAACACAGACTGAAAGCTTGTTCAGGTAAATCAACTGGCATAGTGAAAAGATGCTCTCTCTTTCGCAAACCCTGCTTCTGTGGTGTAACGTGTTATACCCCAAAGAACTGGCTGTTGTTTTAGCTAATGTTGTTCCTAAAAACATTAGCAAACTTTTAAGCAATGGTATCGATACAAACTAATGCACTGTTGGTGCATTAGTGAGCGACTCCCTCCCACTGCCTGCTCTCGGGCTGTGACCCAGCCCAGCCTTCCCACCACGAAGCATCTGCCCAACTGCAACCGTTGGTCCCTAGAGGAGTGAGAGTCCCAGTTCCTTCGTGCACAGCTTATCCAGTGAAAACATCCTGGTGCCGATACCTGGAGACAAGCCTAAGGGTGTTCCAGCTTCTTATTATGGACCCAGATGAAAGGCCTCTACAGTGACCCAGTCTGGACCGCTCAGCTCCTTGGAAATGCGGTAATCATTCTGGAGAGATGGCAATGCAAAGCACTAGCGATGCTGCTGCACAGCGCTGTTCGTGCTCCACACACAAATCCAGGATGCTCCCCTCCAGCCACGAGGATGGAGGAACATCTGGCTTCACACAAAATACCAAATCAGTCCCTGTTCTTTCTGGCTTCTGATGGTATTCATCCATCACTAAACAAGTAACAGCCCCTCAAGAACAGATGCCAACACCAGTGCACAGATGAAAGGTATAAGAGCACCGAAAACCCATGCTTTTTAGTAAAGGACATGCCATGTAATTTGTTGATACTTACTGAAATACTACCTAAGAAACAAACTGAACTGCAGTCCCCAGCTGCCTCATAGCAAAACAAGTGACCTGAAAAAACAGAGTCACTGTCAAAACATTGACAAACTGGGATGAAAAATGGACAAACTGGGAAACTTTTAACTTTTGTAGAATAGGAAGTAATTTCAAGATTTGGTGTGATAACAAAAGTGGTTTTAAAAAAAGCAACACTAGCATTCATATTTGAATGCTTTAAGCTGGGTTACATGAACACATCAAGAGACAACGCAGGATGGAAGCAAGTAATGTTAGTTTCATCTGAAAACTAGATGAGAATACTGATGTTAACAGACTGTGGGGGAGAGTTCAGATTTAGAAAGTTAAAGGAAAAAAAGTCCTAATAAATATGAAATGCACATGTGGGAGTAAAGAATTACAGCACACAATCTTGTCATTCTATGTGATGGCAAGATTAAATTGCCTGAAATGTAACTAAAATTGAAGCAAGATCTAGGACAAAACATTATTACAGAAAATCAATGGAATTGATTTTGGAAAGGCAATAAACACAGTCAGTGGAATCACATTAATTAATGTACCAGAAACTTGGGATATTTAAGACTACCAGTCTAGACATAACATTCTGTTTTTATGAAGTCCTCTATGAATTGAAGTGTTTGACCTTCTACTCCCATCCGCTTCTCTCCTGCCCCAAGAGACCAGTTAGAAATTCACTGATCAATTCTCCACAGTGTGAGCTGAAGATCACAATATGCTCCTGAAACTCACTGGTCAAACCTCACTGCTCGAGTAGAGCATGTAGTATCCTCTACCGCCAGAGCAAGGATGCTGTGAACATATATATCTAAATAAATCTTTTCATATGGTCTTTCCAAACTCAGCAGCTGTATTGCCAGTGCTATACTGAGACAAGCTAATTTTAATGTTTTTCATCTGCATTTAGTTTGCTCATGCTATGGTGATAGAAAAGGTTATTTCTAACAGTTTAACACATAAGTAATCACCCTGGAAGCTATCTACAGAATCAGTGCAAGCTTTAAGAAATGAACCACATTCATGTATGCAAGGTAAGCTTAATTAGCCCACTTCACAAAAATACAATATTTGAGTATTAGAACCTGATGTGCTCAAGGAAGTATGTGAGCTTTTATACTTACTAGAACAATTCTGTATTTAATTAGGCATCATTAGTAAAGGTAATCACTGTAATTTATTTGTACAAATACAGGACATCATGCTCTATCAGCAGGTAATGTTCTTCATTAAAGGAGTAAGAACTTTGTGCACCAGGGCACATGTGATCTACTAATCCAAAGAAATCAGAACTCCAAAGTGCAAAGTAAAACATTTTGTTAAATAAAATCGACCCACCACTTGTACTTAGTATAATTTGTAATAACATATCAAAGTAGAAAATTATCTAGGCTCTTGAACTGGCTTCTGGAAGGAAACTGAAGTTTCTTATGCATATGTATTTTAATATTCATTGTAACAGTACAGAATGCAAGTCAGAATGGTTTTGTGTATCAGTGTTTGGTTCCTAATGGCTTTACACTCATATGACACTTCCCACAACTCCCAGCGACACAAGCAAAAGCTGGCTCTGGCCAACAAAGAATGACCTTGTCAGTAACTTCTAGTGGCACTAGGAAAGTATTTTTAGGAGAACGTGCAGAACTAAGGGAAGAGTGAACAAAAATGCGTGCTGAGCCTTTGAAATTATTCATTCATGTATCAGTAAGATGAAAGCTTTTTGAAGATGCATTCGCACATTGAGTCTTACCAGAAGGTGTTAATGTAACACGTCTGACCAGTGATTCAACTCCTGAAGTCTACAAATAGATCACTCCATGGACATGACAGATGAACATCAGACTAACACCTGTGGTAAATTCAACAAAATGAAATCCCTTGGATTAAATTGATGAAGAAATGGTAGTTATAATCTACCACTTTGTTAGAGCTTTTTCATTGCCAAGGCATGGGCAGGGAGTTACTACCTATGTAAGTAACCTCCCCTCCCCAGTATGAGTTAAAATTTGTCTGTATCCTCTTCTTGCTTAAGAATTATCAAGTGCTTACATGAAGAACAACCACTTTTGCTTTCCCACTTCTCACACTTGTTAGTCACAAGTCTTACATCACAAACTAGATTATACTTCTCATGTAAGATTATGTATTTGTGACTGAAGCAAGTATCAAATCTAACTGAATACAATTTTAAATATGATTTTGCTTCAATATTGAAGTTTCTATTTTAGTAATTGAACTCCATTAAAAAAGAAAAATTAGAAAAATCAAACACCTTTTTCAAAATTTAAGGAAAATTTAATCAATATGCCTTAAATTATTTTACAGTAACTACAATACTGACAAGCATAACATTTTCAAAATGTTGTTTTTCTTGGAAGTACTGCAAAAGAGATTACTCTTCATCTACTAGTATGTGCACCATTAGGAAAAGAAACTCTAGTTGAAGTCATTTTCAGAAATCCAAGTTCACATATAGCTACTTAGACATCCAAATGTATTCATATTTCAAGTGTGACAGAATTACAGATCCCTTTAACTTTTAAGCATCTGTTTTCTAATTCATAATTTAAGTATCTTAAATCCTGAAATACTATCACATCAAATGAACAAATAAATGAGACCAAAGAGCTTAAGAGTATATTTGTTAAAATACAGAAAATTCTCTAATTGCTTGTGTTCATTTGTGCATTTTGCTTTTGGTAAGAGGGGAGAGCAAATGGGTTCCATATTACTGCAGATTTATTCAAAGAGTACCCCAAATCTACGGCATCTGCAGTTCTGTTAACGTTTTCGGATAAAAATCTATCAATTTATAACTGCAACCCTTCTCCCTCCCTCACTCCCCTAAAAAACAAAACAAAACAAAAAAAACCCCAACAAAACCCAAACACAAAAACAAACAAACAAAAACCCACCCACCCACCCCCCAAACAAACAAAAACCACAACCCTCAAATAAACAACCAAAAGTTACTTTTCTAAAGATATAGGAATGGGAAAGAAATTACATTAACTTGATAAGCATGAACACTTATTAAAGCTATAGACACCTCAGGTCAATTGAAAACAGTATTCAAAGTCCTAAAAAAGTCAACACAAGACATTTGTTTTCATTGTTCCAGATGATTCAAAACAGGTCTAGGTTTTGCGATAGCAACACTATACAGTTGTTTGCAGCTGCTTCTGGTCCAACTAAATGTTCCAAGTTGATGTTTTCATTTTGGCCCACTGGAGTCCAACAGTTTGGACAGTCTATTCAAAACACAGAAATGAGAGCAAAGACTCCATACAATAAAGCACAAGGGTATGCTACTAGAAGTTGTTGTCCTTCCATTGCTAAGGCAGAAATAAAGATTTTGGAAGCAGAAAAGCTGCACCAGCCAATAATCCCAGCTGTGAGAATAATCCCCATCATTCCCCTGCAAAGACAGAAATAAAAAGAGAAATCATGTAAGACTTGTAAGAATATATGCTTATAGGAGTCGTAACTGGACTCCTCCTAACACCTTTTACAGACTCTAAGATGAATTCCAGCTTTTATCTTTGACTTTTTAAATGAAATAGTTCCAGTAAAGACTTCAGAATGATGTTATTCAATTATGACAGCATAAAAAAACCCCAAAATTAACTTTGTGCATATGAAATGTAAAAGCAGTGAGTAAAATTAACTGTAGCAAGTTCCTTCTTTCTAGTCCCTAATTTCATATAGCTATGAGTAATCACACTGATCTTCTTCTGTTTGTCAAATTCAAATATGCATCTTAAATTATAATTACTTTTAGACTTTCAAGGTACTAAGATTTGTCAGATTCAAAGCTGACTGAAAACAAACTTGATATTCTTATTTCAGTCTATGTATTTAAAAGCTGTTAATTGACTTATAGATAAAACCAGTATTCACCTATCTTTTATCAAATAAATACCTGAAGACTGTTGATATTTATGTTTTTACACTTAGTACAAATTCCTGTCATATTCAAATTATATGCAGCTTCATCACTGAATATGAAAATTCCTTTTAATAACTTCCTTCACCATCTCATAGCAGAGGAATCTTTTACCAAATTATAAAGTTTAGGTACTTACTGCAACGAAAATACAATTGCAAAAGTGGAAAGTAGGATCATAGGAAGAAGACAGTATCCAAGGACACTGGCAACGCAGCCAAACGAGACACCCGTCATGCTCATTAAGTTCAGGAGACAAAACATCCCTAAACATCCAATTGCACTTATTCCATAGACATAACCAAACTGAATTTTACCAGCCTGAAAGTCAAGCAGAGTAATGCACATTAGTTACCAGAACAAGTAATGCCTCCCACAAACAAAGGGAAAAGGAAAGCTTTCTCCCCATTGTCCTCCACCCCTAATTCTTATATTCAAATTCAAGAGGCAGTATTTTCCCACAACCTGAATTCCAAGACACACGTATATTCCAGGCACCCAAAAGGCACATTTATCCTAACTTTACCTATCTTGATGAACAGATTTTGATTGAATTGTTATTCTTTGATCTGGGTTGCAAAAGCCTATGAATTCTTCAGGGTTTAATCAACTAACTTCTCATGCCAATTGATTACTTGCAATAATAATATTTACAGAACTGGTGTATAAAGACCAAAAAATTGTTATTCAGGAACTTCTTGACAAATCCAGAGCTAAAGTCCTTTAATTTGTGAGACTCCACAAAGTTACAGCACAACGTAAATTATAAAAAATTCCCAGAAACAGTTGAAGCTGAGCTGTAAAGCACTGTATATGAACAGCAGAATTAACTTGCATAAATTTTAAAAAGTCAAAATCAGAACTTTGTTTACTAACAAGTATGCAGAAAGCATGCATGCATTATTTCAAAATGTATGTATCCTATGTCATCATCTGTTTTTCCAGTGAGATCGACGCTTCCCTTATAACATCTACCAAAATGTGCACAAATGCATGGTGCTCATCACTGCAAGAACACAGGACTGTGCAGTTACTGAAGCTACGATGGCGTGTAGCTTCAAGGTCTGTCTCTCACCAACAAATTCCAAACTAAGTCTGTTTATAATCCAGCTCTCTTCTTCCTCAAATGCTACAGAAAGCAATCATATCCGCTTTAATCTTTTTGCTAGGCTAAGCTTGTTTTCTCTCACTACACTCAAGGTATTTAAAAAAAAAATAAAAAGCACATAGGAAAAAGTGTTAATTTCTCAGGAAAAGAACATTCAAATATATCTATTATAAACATGTTCATTAATTCTATTGGCCTAGTTTCCATAAATAAAGGTTACTTATTAAAGCAGGCTTAAAGTGCCCTTGGTACCAAAACACTGTTCTAAGTGTCGTAGCAATGGGAAATTTTAGGCAAAAATTAAATGCAGTGCCTGAAGGCAAAAAAAGAGGAAAAAAAACTGATTAAAAATATTGACGCTTTCAGTGACAAGGAAGGCTGTTTGCTGCTACTCTGTCATTTCGTAATTGGGGCTTTTGAGTCATTAAAGCAAAATCTTATTTCAATTAAGCTCAACTAAATAAACCACCAGGCTTCAACAGCTGCTGACGTATTAAGAAGTATAAACAATTTGAGAACAGGTTTGCTTTAGAAGTGTTTTACCAGACTGACTCTTGATAGTGAAAGCCATGCCTAATACATCAGTACTTATGAAATCACTTTTTACACATGAATTGTGAGTCTCCTTGCCACTTGAATATCAGTAAAGAAAAATGAATAAGAGTATGGAACAAAGAAATACAATGAAACAAATCAGAGAAATAGACAAGTATTAAACACAATAAGAGTTAAAAAATAAAAGAAACTCCTAAATGAAGAAATGAAATAAATATTCAAATACTTAATGTGTCCATTGTTCTGATTCCTGGTAAGATGGAAGATAACAGAGATGCTGCAAAAATCCAAGGTATGATTCTGAAAGTAAAATATCTCAATCTATAAAAAAAATCCCAAACAGGTAAAAATCTGAGAACATGGGTCACACCCATTCCTATGACAAAAGAGAGCCATATTCCTCAAAAGCAAAGTATGAAAAGAAATATCAATTACATTGAAATAATTGCCATGTAAAAACCACACACGAAGACTTAGATTCAAACTCCACTGAAGTAAAGTCATAGTGAACCCATTAATTTCAATCAGTGATGTGTGAAGCCCCAGCTCCTCTTCCATGTATACAGCTACAAATTCTTGGTCTGGATGTGCTTTTTTTGGCCTCCATGCCAAGAATTCACTTGCAATAAACCTATAGGTAGCTTGGCTTTTTCCCCCAGTGTTTCCAAGAATATTAATGCACAAACAGTAATATTTTGCAATCAGTATCTTACCAGTAATAATGTGGCTCCAAAAGCTAGACAGAAGACCATTGGTCCAGCCAAATCAGTCTCATTCATGATGCTGCCATCTGCTACTTTTAATGGGTGGAGCACTGTTAGCGTCTTCTGCCAGATGTGGTCAAAATTGATCCCCAATTCTACAAATTACATGAAAAGAATTATGCATATTTATTTCATATTTTCCCTTCCTGTCACACCCATTTACTTCACTTTTAGTTTTCCCTGCCTCTCCACTTTTAAATGTCCAGATAACATCCTATGCAGATCCAGAGAATTGAGTCATTTCATTTTTCCTCAAGCTGCTAAGTGTGCTGCCTCCACAGATCCCAGGTCTCAAATGCTCGGAAAAGGTGTTTTCTAAAGGACCAGATAAGAGCATAAGTACAGTGTTCTGGGTCAGCCCAAAAGTTCATTTAGCCCAGTACCCTGTCCCTGTAAGCGGCCAAAAGCAGATACGTATGAAAGAGTATAAGCACAGAACATGCAGACTCCCCAAGTTTCCAAAGACTGGTGGCTCAAGGATTTCTAATTCAAAGTAGTTTGTCTGTACGTAATTACCCTCAGTGGATTTCTCTTTCATAAACCAGCCATTGAGCCCACTAAAAAACCCACCCACCCCTTTTAACACTCAGTATCTCACGGCAAGGGAGTTTCACAGCCCCCTCCAGCTAGATATGATTTCAAGTCTCCATCCATACAGTTTGACCACAGTTGTGCATGAAAACCTAGCTATGGATGCAGTTACTATTTGCCCACCTCAGGCCCTGGGATGCATCTATGTAAACAAAATAGTTTTTCTTTAAGAACGCAAAAAAAGCACAGCAGGGTGGAAGGTATCATGAATAGGTATAGGTGATAGGCATCATGAATACCTATCTCTCTAAACAGTAGCAGTAAGGGTGTCTTTAGTTGTTTGGTACTGACCAATGATGGATATAAGCTGGAAACTGAAACTATCAATCCAGAGACTAACTAGACATCCGTTCTGGCATTCTGCACAGGCTATATTCTGCATAGGAATTTCTGCAGTGTTTAGCATTCCTCTTCAGCAATGAAAGATTTCCGTTCTAACCAAAGAATCAACTGAAACTAACTGCATCGATCTGTTTTACAAAAAGTGCGCAAGTTTTATTTGCAACAACAGAAACAGTAAGTGTTTCGTCATGAGAGCTGTATGAAGTCAGGTTATCCCTTTATTTAATTATGTCTTCCACAGAACAGCTGGTGTGAAGTAATAAAGCACAATTCTAAAACTGCAGAAGTTCACACAAGAACATATATTTCATATACCAAAATACAGATAAATAAAAAAAATTAATAAGAATTTCAAATCAACTGTGCACTTTCAGAAGTAGGGAATACACACCCCGTTACTCAACTTATCCCCAAACTGGGAGGAGTTTTGGATTTTGGCCATAAAGTATAAGTTATACCTTCTAATAGAGGAGGCTCATCCTCAAAATTACTTCCATAAAAAGACTGTGCTGAAGTTGGAGCGTATGTCTGTGTTGGCTGGTAAATCTGCCCTGTGTAAGGCTGCTGCTGCTGCATCATGTCGGGAGGGACAAATCCACTTTGTTGAGAATATTCATAGCCTCCATACTGCCTACAAAGAATGACATTGCATTATGGACAGATACAGGATTTTACTTTAAGCACCTCCCTGCAAAAGCAACACTTATTTTCATTAAATAAGTCGCAGCAAACAATCCTTATTTCTTCTTTTTTAAAAAGTCACAGTAGATGATCTCCTACTCAGATCCAGGCCTTTTAGGCATATAGCCACATCCATCAATTCAAACCCTTATAAACAATACTGTTAAGCTACAAGATAGTTCTTGCTATATGTGCTAGTATTGCTTTTTGTTTTTAAGTCAGAGGCCTGGAGAAGTGAGTGTTATCCGTTGACTGAATTACTACTACAGGCTGTAGACCTGAGTAGGAAAATTTTACATGTGAAACTTATTTAAATATTGTCCATTAATTACCACTGACATCTCACTTGATGCCAGCATTAACTTGCTATTTAGAATGCTTATTTGCAAACTCACTATTAGAAAACAAAGTCGCTCATACTACCACTTTTGGTCCCCACCATATTTTAAAAAATGAGCTTGTTCTCCCCTTCACTTAGGCACCATGTGTATCAAGTAGCATTATGACATATAATAAGGAGTTATGATATGGATACTAAACAGATTATGACATCTACCTACAGGATATGATGCAGTGGAAAAAAAAAAAGGGGTGATTTTCCATTTTCTATTTCACATATTCTCAATTATTCACTAACAATTCAATTTATACTGTCTTTGGAATACTTTCTATTATAGATTTTATATATAAAAACATAAATTGCTAACTTTAAAAAAAACCAACAAAAAACTAATCAAAGCTATCTCCTGTTCCTAAACAAACTCCTGAGTTGTTCTTGCCACTAACCATTTCCAAGTCTGACTACAGAGATTTTGGTAAATGTCTCCAAAATACTTTAAAAATACTAATACAAAGAATGAAAACCCAGAATTCCTTCTCCTTTCTTTCCTTGTGTTAGCAGAGTTCAGCCTCATCAGAGCACAGTAATCCTCTTCAGGACGCAAACAGGCATCGACCTGCTCCATCTATCGCAGGGATTACACAGGTCACGTAACTGACCAAAACCCTCAGCCTGAGACTGGATATTCACACAGGACTCCTAAGAGCTCCCCTGACCTAGAAACATCCACCATGCCTTCCTACTAAAGCCTAGGAATCACCACTGACATCGCAGGCTCATTTATGTTGACACCATAACTAATTTTTTTCTCCCCGAGTGAGTACCTAGAGATGGACTTACAGAACAACGGTATTTCTTTTCCCAAAGATGTGAAGACTGTTCATATAATTAAGACTACTCATATAATTTCTCTTTCAATTTCCTAATCTTTGCCTTACAACGTAGAAAGGAGAGTATTCAACATACAACTGCTTTACATCTCCATTTATGGAATGTAAGTTATGCCCTTCACAACAGAGAGCAACAGGAATTCAATTACAGGCGACAGTAGCTGGCTGAAATGCCAATCCTTTTCTGAATAAACAGACTATCCCAGAAGTAAATCTTAACTCGGGCTTGGTCGCTAAAGAAGCCTGACTGAATGGCTCGACACAAGACACGCATTACACGAGTTCGAAAGGCATGCACAAGTTACTTGGTGTACGGTCTCCCGCTGTAGTCATAGGCCTGTGTCTGGTCATCAATACTGTAACTCGTCTGGAAGAAGTCTGTGTTGAAGCTGTCAAACCCAGACATCGCCAGTTATCTGTAAGAGAACAGCCAGCTTTGCTCGGGTCTCCAAACCTGGCCGGTGAGCCTCCCAGCCTGCCTCCCTCCTTCTCCCCCTCTCCCCTCCCTCAGGGCCGCCGTACGCTCCTGAAAGCACCGAGGCCCTTTCGGGAGTTCCCCTGCCCGCCGCCCTCTCCCTCAGGCCGACCGCAGCCGCGCCGCGCGCTGCCTCAGGGCCTCGCCTGCCGCCCCAGCCCCTCTCCTCCTCGCCGGGAAGCCGGGAGCGGGAGACGCGGGCCCGGACGGACAGAGGGACGGACGGACCCACCTGCAGCCCCTCCGGGCCCGGCCCCACACCCGCCACCGCGGCCCCTGCGACGTGTCAACCCAGCGGCCCGAGCACTTCCGGGCCAGCGGGGCCGCGCACGGCGCGCTGGGCGGAGCGCCTCCACTGGGCATGCGCCGCCTCCGGCACCGCCCCCCGGCTGCGTGGCGCCTCCGCGTTGCCAAGGAGACGGGGCGCGGGGCGGAGGCAAGATGGCGGCGGAGCAGCGCGGGATGGCGGCCGCGGCCGGGAGCCGCTGCTCGCACCGCGCTGCTGCCGGCGCTGGCGGGGCTTGGTGGCCTCGGTCAGCCCCCTCAGGGTCCGCGGGCGGCCCGGCGATCGCGCAGCTCCGGGAGCTGGCGTTTTTCCCCTGCGCTGTTCAGCTTTCCTGTTACAGCCGAGGCTTCGAAGCTTCAGGACTTGTCTCCCATAGTTTTGCCTAAAATCTGAAGAAAAGCAAAATATTGGCTTTTAAATACTAAGCGAGGAATAAACTGCTGCCCGTATTTCACTGGGCATTAAAGCATTAGTAGTCAGTACCTCCTTTCACTGTGTTCGGCTGAGAGTCGGGTACCCCAGCTGTGACACAGGAAGAGTTACACTGATTTATCCTAAGGTGAAGCTGTAACGTACCTGTAACCGCTGATGGTTATTTGTTTTAATGTCCTCTCCTGGTGCAGCCACCAATGACATGTAAAAAAGTGAATAGTGGTTGTGAATCCTTCCATCAATATTACCCTGTCTAGAGAAGCCCAGTCAGCAAATCTTGCTGTGGTCATGAAGAGGAGATGCGATGCTGTAACCAAAATTATGGAAAAGCTGACCTTTTCTTCAGGAGGCACAGAAATGGACAAAGACAAGGCTCTAGCAATGGTAACGGTCGCATGTTCCTCCAGTCTCTGTCGCTCCCGCATTTGCAATTAGACCTCAATCAGTCAGGAAGAGCTGCAGGGGGAGCGAGGCAGGATTTGATGGGCACAAGGAGAGCAGGAGCCCAGAAGCGATGCCCGCTCCAGCAGCAGGGCTGTGGCTGGGGCCCAAGCTGCAGCCTCATTGCCCAGGCTCGGGCTGGCTCACCCCCACGCCTCCCTCCCACGCCATGGCATCTTCGTGGGACCAGATTGTTCAGGGCATCGTGATGTGCCACGCTGCATCCCTTGCGAGCAGCATACTCACTTTTAATGTAACTTCCTGAAGTAAAGCACAAAGACTATCGGGCTTACGGCATCTGCCAGGTTCCCTGTGTTTGTTTACTTAGCTTAGGCTCAGCACCATCATCTGCTTTCAACTGGATGCAAAATTTTGGTTTGACGACAGTTTACGTACGCAGGTAACATCAGAAGGTTTTCAGTGAGAGTTTAGTGTTAATGCATTTGAGGTCACAGAGGAATGTATTACTAAGCAACTTCTTGATTGCCAAAAATCTCTTTCTTTCCAGGATTTTTTTTCCTATTATTCATGAAAAAAAAATGGTATTGTGAATCATTGTATAAACATGGAGCAGAGTAGGAATAAAATGCTCTTCGCGTGATTCAGACGAATTCTTGTTGACATCAGTGAAAGTAAGAGAGTAGACTTTGGCCTTAGAGATATTATTTTGCATAATGTTCACTTAAGGTGTGGTTTGTTTTTTTTTCTCAAGGCCACAGCTTAGTTACATGAAGTGGTTTTGCCTGCAAGTTTAGCATCTTGCCCCGTGATCTGTCTGATCTCCTAAAGGGAACAGGGTGTGCTCTGTTCACTGCATGGATGGGAGAGTTTATGTGAAACTGCAGGTACTGAAGGAAATGGAGTAGGTGATGGTGCTGCTGCGTGAAAAGTAAATAATTGCTGCCATTTAATGTTAAACCTTCATACCCTTTCACATGTCCCCATTAAATAAAATTAATATTTTCCTGAGGCCAGACAAAAAATTTGCTAGAGCCATGAATCCTTGTGTCTTTACCAAAGACCAGCTGTTAGCCTGTCCCTCACAAATAAGCTGCGGGAGCTGGGAATACTGTGGAATTGAGAAAAAAAGTGACTGGGACTGTGAGGACATTCTCATGTGTAGAAGCTCCATTCCTTTGCAGTCCCTTGTCAGTCACTCCATGTATCCTTCTAATTTCATTATTTTGCTCCCTTTTTTTCATGTAGGGCCAGGGGAAAAGGCTGTACTCAGACTATTAACTAGAATTTGTTTTTATTAGCTACCTAAAGTGCTGGCGCTGAGCACCAGAAGAAGTGAGCATGCATTGCTGACTCAGGTGGGCTTTGTAGTGGACAGAGTCAGGGAAAACCCCGGCTGAGGTAGTTCAGCTGAAATTTCAGAATGAAATGAATCGTGATTGATTGCCGCTTTATTGTTGTTGCTGAATAGGTACATGGTAATGAGGTTTAGAAATACGTTAACTGTGCATGCATAAACAGTTGCAATTCCATGCTTGATGTAGCCTAACTTCTGATCTGCATGCTGGAACTGAACGCTTGCCACTTGGGCACACATGCAAGTGTGAGTCCCTGTTTTGAAATATGTATATGTTTTCTTTTTTTTTTTTTAATTCATTTTGGCTCAGGACACAATTACAGTTATTTTGTAACACACTCTCATGTATGTAATCTTCTTCTAGTGAGATTATTGTATTTAAATTATAGTGCTGTTACAAGCCTCTCCTGCAAAAGGTATCTTGTGGTTCATTGTACATGGTATCTCCTAAGAACAGCCTCCCAGAAAATATGTATGTTTGTAGAACTGAATGAAGTAACGGTGGGGGAAATACAGCCATGGATAATACAGAGATCAGTAACTGTGGCATAAGCTGCTTCTTGCAAATTTATACTTTAGGTAAATTAGTGTCCGAAGGCTGAGAAGATCCCTGCTTTCACGGAAGACCTGTAGAGTGTGCAGGCTACATCTAATGTTGATGACTTAGTGCCACTTCGCTGAACTGTGTGACTTGGTTGCGGTTCACTAGACAGTAAAATGAGACCCAAATCCCAGGCAGTGGGCTGTGTAATTGTGATCTGCTGGTGAAATGCTCTTTGGCTAGAAATCTGCTTGGATTTGCTTAGATTATTAGAATTTACTGACGGCTTAGGTTGAGCTTTCATTAATTAGTTCTCTCTGCACTAGGCATCTCAACACTGCTTTAGGGTATCATCTGCTTCAGCATTGCAGGACAAGTTCACACTCATCTGTAGCAGTGTGTAGTCTGATACAGGCTGATGGGTTCAAGGGAAGGCAAGACACTGCAGCTACACAACTGCATCCTTCCTGCATGACTTGGAAAGGGCATTATGTGAACAGCCCAGCTCACCGTGCCCAGAGGTACAACCAAGTAAGGCACCAAACGCTCCCTGGCAAACACCGTCCCTTTCTTTGAGGGACCAGCTCCAGCTGCACCTGTGGTCATCTGGACAGGGGATCTGGCTTTGCAGGAGGCCTTGAAATGGCTCCATGATGGGAAGAGTAAAGATAATCATAAAATCAGTACATGGATTACACAGTCCTGATACCATAATAATGCTACCCAGTGAGGATCAAACTTTGTTTTAGCTGTAACATTAAAAAACACACTATAATTACACCAGTGTTAATAACAGGATAATTTGAACCAGACCGAGAATAAAAGTATTATTCAAAGAACTTTGGAAGTGTGGGAGGAAGGGAAAAAGGAGGGGAGGAGGGAGTCTGCTGAAGTAGGCTTTGCTATGGCAGAACTTCTAAGAGAGAAAGGAAGTCCCTTACAGATGGGTGACTGAAAACAACAATTTTTGTTTGAGTTTAATCCTTGGCTGTTGATGTGAGTGCACACGAGGTCTCTGTCCACCTATACATGCTGGGTCTATTGAAGCGTCAGAGACAGGATTGTCTGTATAGCGGATTGCTTTGTTGAACAGTGTCCATGAAATTCTAAAGGATTTATCAGCATTGGATATATCAACTCTTGGTCAAAATGTTATCTGATGTACAATTGTTAACTAAATCAGTGGAATATGATTCCCCTTTACTGTCAGTTTTTGAAAACCTAGAACCTTGTGCAATGCATTTGCTCTGGATTTAGTGTTTGACAGAAGGAGCATACAGTTTTATTTGCAGAAGCTGTGCCCACACTCTGTATGTTACATGATAGAAAAAAAATGTTGTCGCATGTCTTCTATTTGAATTGTCTGCCTTGCACCATGCCCATGCTCACGTGCTGAGCAGCTGTGAAAGCTATTCTTCCCCTTTGCCTTTTTTTGATGAAAATACATTATGTACTTGAGTTATGAATAAAAGATCAAGGGCAGATCTGTATAATGCTTTGCTATGTACTTGTTAATAAACCCTACTTTATGGCACTTGCGCTCTCTTGCTAGCAGATCCTTTTCTTAGGGAGATTCTGCCATTTACTGTTTCTTTATGCTTATTCTTCGAAGAGCAAGATTTGCTAGGGCTTCTTATTCACACCTACTGGTGGATTTCAGCAGATGAGATTTTCACTGTATGTAATTCACACTGCTGGATTAGTGGATCATGTGTTATTTTAGCTCAGTATCATACTTTTTCTTGCCTGGCTCACTTCTTGGGAACTCAGTTTCTAGAGCTACCTGAGCGATGTGAAGACCACTCCACTCTCAGAATTATATACCCCTTTTAGAAAAGTGTCTGGGTTAAAAGTCTGTAACTCTGCAAGAGCCTGGAATTTATTCCTGTCAGGGCTCTGTTACCGCTCTTTGCTATGGATTGAGAGTGGATTGGAAGTCTTGTCTGGAAGTGCTAGCATCTGCCTATAGGACATGGTGTCTGCTTCTCAGTGAAACCACTGTCCCTTTACGCTGCTCTGACAATAACCCAGGATCTGGCCCCACGCACCTGCTGGGGCCAGACATTTCTTTTTCTCTTTGCCATGCCACCCTTCTCAGAAACTGCAGTCTTCTCTCTGGCTTGATGAAGTTTTGCCCTGGTGAAATGTTGCATTGGCCAGCATTTAGATATAAGGCTGCAGAGGAGTGCTGAATGTTACAGGCTATGTGGCTGAAGGATCCTTAGGTGGCACCTTGAAGTCATTCCTGAATCAAAGCGTAAGCCTAGAACTGGAAGTACTGTTTTTCTTTCTTTCTTTTTTATTTTAACTATTGTGTGTAAAAATCACCCAGAGTGATGAAAGTTCCCATGTGGCTTTTTAGCTGAAATCTTCTGTCCAAAATCAAACTCAGATATTTTTTTCTTCCCAGAATTACTCCTTCAATTTCTGCTACTTTCAATTGCTATTTCTCTGAGTGCCTTAAAGTTCTGCATGGTGTTGCTAAATGCTGATAAACAGCTTCAACATTTCTCATTATGCGTGGGCGATTTGATTCGTATTTATAGCTTGTGTATTCACACTGCAAGATATAAGATGATATATATACATACCACTGCTACTACAGACCTAGTTGAATACTACCCTTTCTTTCTACCGTTCATTGCTGCTTCTTTTAAGATACCTTTTTTTAGCACCCACAGGATTTGATGAAGTCAGTTGTCCCATGATTTCCTGAAAGCATAAATGCTAATTTAGCACTTTGTCATACGGAGTGACCTCAAACCTGTGAATGATGTCACATCATTAGTATATCGGGTTTAAGCATAGCTCTGCCGTGACTTTTGGAACATACACTTTAAGCTCAGGCTAAATTTTCCCCTAACTGTATTGAAGGTTATGTAGGCATCTGTTAAAAGTGGAACATGCTTCATCCTCCTCCCTTTGACAGATGCTGCTTTTCTTTTCCGTCAGAACTGTAGCTGCTCTTCAAATGAGCTGCGTTGGTTCTGCAGCTGAATAGGTGAGACCTTCGCATAGTCCTGACATATATTTTACATTTAGGTCACCAGTGCGTTTGGCCCAGATTTTCAAGTTTCACTCTTCTCAGGCTGCATTTTGATGGATTTGGCCAATGGTTTGTATTTAGCTGGGAAGCGTTATGTGATGCTTTTACTACTGAAGTCATTTCATCAAAAGAAATTATATTGTGTTCCAGTAAAATGATTGGAACATCCTGTGTAAAGAAATAAAAGCAGGTGTTGAATTTCTTTCATTTATTATTTGAAAAGTGCAGATGCATTTCTAAAGCTGTTGTGATTAAAATTCTGAGGTTTTTGTTCTTTTCAAAGGGCAATTCTGATTATAATTTTTCAAAAAGACTTAGAGCTTGAATATCTCTGTATTCACTAATCACATGGTATCCATGTCAGAATGCTTCACAGAAGCTTGTCAGGAATCACAATTTTTTATAAGACTCCCATGTCACCACGCCATTCCCTAAGCACCGGCACATCAGACTTACTGTGTTGTCTCCACTCACCCCTGAAAAATTCTGCCCAGGTGGTCTTTATCCCCCTGCCTTGGTGGTTTGGATCTTTACCATGCTGTGTGATCACAAATGGCTTCGGTGCTTGTTTGAACAAGATTAGTTTTTACTGGGGAGAGTGAATTGATTCTTCAAGCCCTGCCAATATGGCATCACTGGATTTATGAAAGTTGATTCAAATATTATTACAGCATATTAACTAACATTAATAACTAAAATATTTGAAAAAGCTGATGCAATGCTCCTTGCTTTGAACCGGGGCAGCACTAATGAGTACCTAACGGGGGCTTACAAGAAAGCAGGAGAGGGGCTTTTTAAAAGGGCACGTAGTGATAGGACAAGGGGTAATGTCTTTAAACTGAAAGAGGGTAGATTTAGATTAGATGTAAGGAAGAAGTTCTTTACTGTGAGGGTGGTGAGACACTGGACCAGGTTGCCCAGAGAGGCTGTGGATGCCCCATCCCTGGAAGTGTTCAAGGTTGGATGGGGCTTTGAGCAACCTGGTCTGGTGGAAGGTGTCCCTGCCCATGGCAGGGGGGTTGGAACTACATGAACTTTAAGGTCCCTTCTAACCCAAACCATTCTGGGATTCATTCTATGGTTCTTAAATCCCCAAAGAAGCTATCATTTCATCTGACTGGTCATGTAGATGTTAAAGCCCGTATGCGTTGACTGTACCAGACTCTTAAAAAAGTAACGAAGACATCTAAGTTAATGTGTTCCCATATCACACCTTTAAATCCTCCTTGTAATGGTTATGGAGCACTTGGCGAGTACTTCCTCAGCTGGTCTATCAGAACTGCAAGGGAAGATGCAAAATGCTTTGTCTTTTCTCTTTCTGAGATACAATGAGCATTCTCTGTAGTAGTACCAGATTCTGCTGGTTTAAAAATTAGAAATTAGATACAGAAGTCAGAGACAGAACCTTGGCTCAGGAGCCCAGCAGTTGCTTCAGAATTAAGGGTAAAAATTGAGGGTTTGATTAACTGTTCAACTCTCAGGTTTGAATTTGAAAAGTTTTTAAGTATAGAAATCAATGATTTTCTGCCCTAGCCCTGAAAGTTGTACTTTTTACATTAGCATGATGTGGTTTTTGTTTTTTTAAATTATAGCCATGTTTTCGGAAGACTCTCGCTGAACTATCTGCAGCTTAAGTGCAGTCAGCAAAAACTATCTGCGCGTGGTGACTTCCTCACACAAGGATTTCACTCTAAAGCTTCCCCTCCAGGTTTTGGTTAGCGTTTGAGTAAAAGGCTTTATTTTACCGTACCTTTATCATGCTGACCAACCTATTTTTGCCCAGAACTGATGTGTGCTAGACAGAAAGCTGGACTTCCCTGTAACCCCTGCATGACCAGCCGTGAATTCGCTGGTGGGCCGCGTCTCGTGGTCGCGATTCGGTGAGCTCTTTAAGCAGCTTCATGGCTTTAATTGCAGCGGGTGTTTTGCCCCGTGCTTATTTAACGTGAGGCAGCTGCTTAACGTTCCGCCGAGCGGAGCGGGCCGGTGTGTGTGGGGGGGGTCCGATTTACCGACCCGGAGCCCACACCCAGCAGCGGCAGCAGCCCGCACCGCCAGTCCCGCAGCTCCGCTCCCGTTCAACTCTCCTCTTCCCGCAGCCCCGCTCCCGTGCAGCTCTCCTCCTCTTCCCGCAGCGCTTGACCCGGGAAGAGCAGCCGGGCCGATCCTGCGCGATCGCCGCCGCGGACGCGAGGTGGCGGTGCGGCCGCGGCCACGGGGCGCGGGCAGCGCGGGGCGGGCGCGGAGCCGCTCTCCCCCGCCCCGTTAAAGACCCGACAGATAAAGTCGGTGCGGGGCCGCTCCCGCCGCGCCGAGCCTCCTTGGGGGTCCCACCTCCTCCCTCGGCGGATCGCCTCGCTGCCGGCTCCTGCCCTTGCCGGGTCGCCGCTGGGGAGATGAGGAGCGCCAGCAGCGTGATAAAATCGCGGTCCTGCCTGAAAGCCACGGGCGTGCGTGCCGGCAGCCCCCACCCGCCGGGCGCTCCCGCCCTGCCCGCCCGCGTCGCCGGCTGA